AAGCGGGGTTGGTTGGCAGCCTGTTTTTTTTTCCGGGGGGGGGGGGGAACCCTGCTTAACACGCTCCTTTCTTCCATCCGTCTAGGAGTGGGGGGCTAACTGCCCCAACGAGTTCCTCGCCGGCTACAGGCTGCAACACGACCTCTCCTGGACCCCTTCGGACGAGGCGGAGAAACGGGACACCGAACTCAACGTCTTGGAGAAGCTGCTGGACCAACAAGCCATTTTGCCCCCTTGTAGCGAACCCAATTTTTGCGGCCTTACGATGTGACGCCCGGTTCTCCTCTTCGCAAATCGTTCTCTCCTGGCTGCTTCTGAGAAACCGAAAGGGGCAGAATGACTGGAGAACAGCTTCCTCTTCGACACCCATTTGGAAATTTTTTCCTGATTTTTGTTTTGAATTTTAGTTTCCCATCCTTGCGGTTTTAGCCCTTTAGCGACAGGACGGCGGCCTGAGAAAGTAATTTTTGCCTCGTTTCAGGTCCCCTCCTGCAAGGGACAGTCCAAATTAAGACCGCCTCTCCTCCCCCCGCCCCCAAGTTGGGAATCCTCTCGCTCTTCAGCAGACAAGGTAAGAGGCGGTAGGGTCCCCTTGGAGGTCATCTAATCCCACCCTGTTCCCAGGGATAAAATCCATCACGACAAACTTGACTGTAATTATATTTATGTCTTGCTTTCCCAATTGGGAAGATTATTTATTTATAGAATGAAGGTTTTTTTCTTTTCATTTTCCCAATAACCTGAGAGGTAGTTTGGACCGAAAGAAAACCACAGGTTTTTTTTTATTATTTTATTTTTAATCAGAGGAAGGAGATTTAACTAATAGTTTTATTTAGTTAGGAATCCCATTGCATTGAGGAGAAAATTCTCTTCCTGTAACGGATGTAGTAAGAATGTTTATCACGGGGAATGCTGAGTGTCCGGTATGAGGCAACAGATCTTGGTCCTAACAGTTTGGATATTTTAATTATTTTTTTAAGAACCTAAAAACGAACAGAAACTAGTTGAACAAAGAAGGAAGGAAAGAGAAGGGAAAAAGTAAACACAAACATGCAACAAGAAAGAATAAAAAAACACAAATTTCTGATTTCCTTTACAGCAAAACATAATTATAAAATAATCACGAGGATTCCAAAAAGGCTCCCTTTTTCCATTTTTTCCAATCATCAAAACCACGAGTGTATTTTTTTCTTGTTTCATGCAAAATGAAATGACTTTGGGCCAGTCCCTCTCTCTCACCACCTCACAGGGTTGTTGTTATTGCGGGGAAAATAGGAGGAGGGACTACTAGATATGTTCGCCGCCTTGAATTATTTATAACAATAATGGAATTTTAAAAAAAAATCTAATAAAAATGCAAACATCACTACTTTTGTGCATCCCTAATGTTTGGAAATTGAAAGGTGAAAAATTTGACACACCATGTATATATATCTGTATTTCTCTCTGTGTATGTGTGTGTGTGTGTATATGTGTGTGTGTATATATGAAATCTGTATATGTATATATGGTAGCCTTTGTATCGTGTGTATACACACCACATAGATGTATATAGAGACAAACATGGAGATACACTATTTCCTATACACTATTGCATATCTATCATCCATCTATATAATATACACCTCCATACATGCATATACATAGGCATATGTGTATATGCACTATCTCGTATGTATAGATGCGCACGTATGTCCATATTCATGCAGATATATAGACAGATACACAAAACAGCATGCATACATGCATGTAGCCTATCTGTGTGTGTACACACACGTGTGCATACGCCAGCACAGATAGGCTACATGCATGTATGCATGCTGTTTTGTGTATCTGTC